ACTTGGATGGGAGACCTCCTTGAAATACCAGAGGCGGGAAGTGGGGGCAGGCTTTACTCAGCCACCTGTCTGAATATCCTCCAGGCCCCCAGTAGGGGTCAGTCACCAGAGGTCAGCATGACTCCCAGGTGCACACATACTCACACACACATACATATGAAAAAAATATCAACCCCCCCCCCAAGTTATTTATTATGGTATTACACCAGCACGAAACACAGAATAAAATATACCATAGTCATCGCCCAAAATTGTTAAAAGTTTCAGATAAAACTATAATAAATTATAAAAAAACCATTCCAATAATACATAGGGATATATTGTGAGCAGTGCTCCCTCCAAGCTACGGAGTCCCGTGAGCAAAAATTCTACTTTGTGAGCTCCTGGCGTTAAAGTTGTGAGCGAGTAATTTGGCCACTGCATAAATTAGTTTGCTCTGGAGCCATCCGTCCTGAGCCAAGACCAAAATGTGTGAGCCGGAGACTAAAAAACTGTGAGCTAGCTCATGCTAACTCAGCTTAGAGGGAACACTGATTGTGAGAGAAGGATTTTAACACTTAGAATTTATAAAATTACATATATTATATGGGCTTATGTCATACTTTATGTTTCCTTACTTTCTTGAATGTTCAGTCAAGTTTTGTAGGCTGCTGCTCAGAATTTCGCACAAAGTGCAGTCACCTGTGGGTTTTCTCCCAAGAGCAACAACTTAACATAAACCCAGGGTTTCTATTGAGCAGGGGGGAGATATACTTTGAGCAATTCATTTGATAAAAGGGGCAGTAAAGGAGGACATATTTTCTTGTTTTCTATCTCACCACTGCCACAGGGAGATAATCTTTCATTCAAAGTGGATCTTTTTATATCGCCCCGCTACTACCACTGTTGGGAGGGCTGCAGGATTTGGCTCAGTTCCACAGGACCTGTAATACTGAGATGTGCCACTGGGCATATGGTCGAGGACAGCAATGGCTAGAGGGATCAGTGGTCTCGGGGGGGTTTCTCTCCTTCCCCCCTTTTATTCTCCACCCTCTTCTGGTTAAGAATCTCCCATGGGTGGAACATGATTTCACACTAGCCACCCAGCTATCTGCGGGAATATCCAGAGGAGCTAGGACCTCCGGTCTTAACTTGGAGGTAATTACCTTTCTCAGGAGGTAACAAAATGATTTGCAGTTCTATGTTATCCATTGTGTGATGATGACGATGATAAACATGCATTTATTTTGGGAGCTGTTTCCCACTGTGGCTAGGTCTATTAGAAAACCAGACATTTCCCCAAACAGCTGCTACAGGGCAGTGCTGGTGCAATCCAGCAGCTCTCTTTTATGGTGTTATCCCTAGAAGGCAAAAGGATGTTTTAGGACCCCGGGGAGTGCATTTAGCCGATGCCGCCTTTGTTGCAGTGTGCCAAGAAGGTCTGCAGGGTGGCTACAGCATTCATAACCATGATTTAATTTGTTTCCTTCACCTCTTTTTGTGAAGAGTAGCCTACCCTGAATTTAACCCCTTTGTAGGTGTGTAGGGGGACGCAGAGTGAAAATGAAGTGGAGAGGGGGCACCCAGACTTAACAATGGTCGCTTCAAGCAATCATAGAAAGGAGCATTTTAAACAATGGGCTTTCACAAGCATTGTTGATAGGTCTTTTGAAAACTTCAATGCATTCCTTGGAATAAAGTCCTTAAAGGACCGAAAAGCATGAAGCCCAGCCAACTAAAGGACCACTTACAACAAGTTCATGTAGAGTTTGCCAGAAAAGGTATTGAATTCTTTAAAAAGAAGGAACATGATAAGAAAGACCTCTGAAGCTGCTCTTGAAGACTTCCGGTACGCATTGCTCTCCAAGTTGCTGAATGCAAGACATCCCAAACAATAGGAGAAGACCTTGTCAAGCCATGCATGTAGAAGTAGCAAGGCTTGTCCTTCAGGGGTCATGAGTGAGAAAGATGAGCCTGTTCTCACTTTTGAATGACACAGTCATAAACTGACTCTTTGAGATGAGGGAAGACCTTTTGTATCAAACAGTTGCAGAAGTGAAAGCAAACTCCAACTTTGTGCTTCAGCTGGATGAACCGACACAACTGCTCGTGTGTGCTCATAAGAACATAAGAGAAGCCAATGCTGGATCAGGCCAATGGCCCATCCAGTCCAACACTCTGTGTCACACAGTGGCCAGAAATACCAGGTGCCATCAGGAGGTCCAGCAGTGGGGCCGGGACACTAGAAGCCCTCCCACTGTTGACCCCCCCAAGCACCAAGAAGACAGACCATCACTTGCCCCAGAGCCCCTAGCTATACCTTGTGGCTAATAGCCACTGATGGATCTCTGCTCCATGTGCTTATCTAATTCCCTCTTGAAGCCGTCCGTGCTCGTAGCCGCCGCCACCTCCTGTGGCAGTGAATCCCATGTGCTCAGTACCTGAAAGACTCTGCTGTGAACGTGGACTGTCAGTTCTCTGAACCACTGACCACACGTACCTGTGGAGAAGAAGCTGAACAATGTTGTTGCTGAAAAGGTGCTGGAGTAGGTCACCCAGGGTTGCCAGCTTCCAGTTGGGATCTGGAGTTCTCCTGCTATTACAGCTGATCTCCAGCTAACAAGAGACCTGATCCCCTGGGGGGAAATGGCTGCTTTGGAGGGTGGGTTCTGTGGCTTTATACCTTGATGAGGCCTCGCCCCTCCCCAAACCCCACCCTCCCCAGGCTCCGCTCCGCCCCCTAAATCAGCCCGGAGATGGCAACCCTAGAGTGAACGTAGTTGCAATAAGCACAGATATTGAGTAGAGAATTCAATATAGAGAAGCAGACTACGTTTATAAGAGATGACATGATATTTTTAAATTGAGAAAATGTTCACTTTCCCTTGGTACTTCCAACTTTTGCCCACCATGTGTTTGATCATAACGAGTATTCAGCTTCATTTACCAAAATTAATGCTGTATCCACCATTGGGCAGAATAAACTTAATTTGTGTGGTGGTAGCAGTTCCAGTTCTGATGGCTAGTTCAAGAGTTACAGAGTGCCAAAAAGGTTAAAAACCACTCCGTCAGGAGGTTCTCACACTGTTTAACGACCAGCCAGGGGATGCTGAAGAGTAACGATAACTAACCTTAATTAATTTCAATATAGAAGAATTAAAAACGTGTTATTTGTAATGATTATTTTTCCGGACGTTCTTTTTAGTATACTGGTCTCCGTGTTTTTTAGTTGATTCCTGGAGATTTTTTTTTTTTTGGTTCAGTCAGTTTATATTTTTTTAGCCAGTCAGTTTATAAGTTTAAAAAATATACCTAGAACTAAGAGCCACCTAGAACAGAAGATGAGAGGGGTCATAAACAAATCTAGAACACCTAGAACAGAAGAACAAATCTAGAACACCTAGAACAGAAGATGAGAGGGGTCATAAACAAATCCTTCACACGCTTTTTGAGCAGTGCCGTCTACAGCATAAAAGCATTCCTAAAAATGAAGATATCAATCTAAAACGAAGGCCTTCATTACAAATTAGGGCTGCCAAGTCCCCCCGGGGGGCGGATAATCCCCCGCTTTGGAGGCCCAATTGTGCACGCCGGGGTGGGGTTTCCCCCGGGGCCCGATTCCGCGGCGGCGAAAACCGGGCCTCCAAAGCGGGGGATTATCCGCCCCCCCAGGGGGACTTGGCAGCCCCTCAGGACGCCGATCGGGAGCCCCCCGCCGCAAGGTAAAACAGACTTGGCAACCCTATTACAAATTGTATCTTGGATGGGGCCTGCTGGCCTGCCAGTCTCCATTCTTGAATACCCACAACCTGTTCCCCGACTCTTTGGGTCAGAGCCTCAATACACCTCCTGCAATCCTACTCTTGCGGAGTTTACCCCTTCCAGGTTGCTGCAGGAAGCACACACCACCAACACCCGTCTCTGGATCCTGCCCTCTGTCTATGGAGCAGCAGGAGGGAAAAAGGGGAGAAATCAGCATGCAGATTATGATGTCACTTGTCGCTGAGCACCAGGAAATGACACCACAGTGTCTGTGACATTCTAGGAAACTCCCCAATCTCTGTGGTATTTACCATAGAGATATGGGGATTTCTAGAGCAGCAAGGGAGCTGCAATGTCACTTCCAGGCACTTAACTGGAAGTGACGCCAAGATGTTCGTGATGCTGTCCCTCCACAGACTCCACCCCCCCCCAAACTCTTTTGGGGATTGGCAGTGGCAGGCAGGCAACCCTAGGCGAGAGCTATAGATTAGGGAACCAGCAACCTGAGGCCCCCAGCTAGCCGCTTTGACTCTAGTGGTTAAAAACATGAGGCAAGCTGTCCCTCCAGATGACCCTCCACAAGAGGGGAAGGTGCCGCAACAGAGAAGGTCCTGGCTCAGCCCTCTGTGGCTCAGATTACATGGGGACCTACAGCAGGGCTTCTCAAGGGACCTTAGGGCACATATGGGAGAGGATTAGAGTTGCCAGGTCGTCCCACCCCCCAGCCGCTGGTGGTGGATGGGAAGGCAGGATTGCCAAATCCATGTTGGGAAACTCCTGGAGATGTGGGGGTGGAGGCTGGGAATGGGGGGGGGACCTCAGTGGGGTACAATGCCATAAAGTACACCCTTATAAGCATCCATTTTCTCCAGGGGAATTGATCTCTGTAGTTTGCAGATGAGCTATAACTCTGGGGGATCCCCAGGTCCCACCTGGAGGATGGCACCCCTACAAAGGATGCTCCTTCAATCTGAAGTATCACAGGGGCCTGGACCACACCAGGAATTTAGAAGTTAAAAAAACCCAATCCTTTGAATTAAACCAGGGAATGGATTGGGAGGAAACCGCATAGTATGGTAAGGCCTGTACTTGAGGGGGAGGCCCGGCTGTTGCATTTTGCTGTTTCTTCCCGTCTCCCCACATCGCGTGTAGGGCTCCTGAGG